AGAACCTTCTCTATGTCATGTTTATGGTTTGAAATTATAAATTATACTCCCAGAGTAACATTTAGAGCATACAGTGTTTTATTCTGGGCTTTTTCTTTCAGTTCCTAAAGATGTTCTCATTCCTCTGAAACCAGATCCCGAAGTCTCTGAAAGCGATACTGGTAAATGAATTATTTTATTTTCCAAGCTAGGAAATTTACTCTTTTTATTTCTTGAAATAAATATATTTTAATGGTTGTAATGTAGAAAGGATAGAAGAAATTTTTGGATATATAATGTGGGGTGTTTGTTTTGTTTCTTTTGGTGTGCTTTAATCTAAAAATCTGGTTAAAATCTTTTTCTCTGATTAATGTAAATGGAATGGTATATAATTTATTTTCCCTGGAAGTATGTTTCATGAATGAAAAATTATATATTGATTGTAAGACATAATTATTAACTGAACTAACCATTTCTACCTTAAAACAAACAAACAAACAAAAAAAAAAACAACGTGCAATATAACTAGTAAACTGTCATTTTTAGTTGTGAGTATACTTTCAAGTAAAAACTGTGGACACTGCTCAAAATTGTCCTCAAAGTAATGGTGAATGATAATTTTAAAGCTTTAGCTAAAATAAGTTCTCTGAGTAACATCTAATATGTAGTTTTCTCATATTTATAATGGTTGATAGAAAATGTATAAATATTCAAATGGATGCAAGTATAAGTGTAGAAACAAAGTAGTAATTTCATAAATGTCTTTCTTTGGTTTGCTTTTGGCATAGTTCTGCAACCCGTTACATTTAGAATTGATCCACCAAAGACAACACTAGGTAATGGTCTTCCCATATTGACCAAGTCTAATTTTTTGTGCCCTTTGCAATAATCCAGATTGTAAATCTTTTTCAAATGACCATGTTGGAATATCATATCTTTTCAATCCATTTCATCATTTTATTCATGTTTTACTTCTTTTCTCCTTTTTACTTGCCACTGAAGATTTGGAGCTGATTCATTATATGAATCTTTTCCAAAGTAGAGAAGTATCAGTTCATGGTTATAAGCCTTTGCCATGAAGACCAGCTTGAGACAGCTCATCATGAGTCCATCCTTACCACCTCTTTTTAGTGCCATCTTCCACAATATCCCACCTTCCTCATGCCATCTACTTAACATGTTCCATCAGTTCAGTGGTTCTCAGCTGTACTGTTACAACACATTCACGTGTTAACATGTTCCAAATTGTGAAAGGGGCTTCTCGTAGTGCCTTAGGAATAGTGTTTACAATAGTCAAATTTGCCAGAGATTTATATTTAAAAATAAACTTCAGAAGATTTCAAGAAGATTGTTGTTGAGTGTTGTTGAGTACGTTCTGACCCATAACAACTCTATATAGGGTTTCTGAGGAGAGGCTGATGAGCTTGAACTGCTGAACTTGTGATTCAAACTAACTTTGTAGTCCAGTGTACTAACGCACAGCACCTCATCAAGACTCCATCTCCTACTTGCTGGGTATTAATATAAATGATATTTTCTGAATCTGAGTTTCTTCAATTTGTTTCAGCAAGAAACTCTCAATTGGGACAACTTGCATTTATTGTATTCATTGTGGGGGAGTACAATTAATCCCATACAAATGTTGTTCTTGAAACAACAATATGTTCTCTTGAGTGGTAGAGAGAAGGGTAGAGCCCCAGTTAATACCAGAGCTGAGTCTAACTCAACATCTCAACAGGGTATACTCATGGAGCATATCAACCATAGACTATCATTCATTATGTGTACTGGTGGAAAAACAATTGAGAACCATTATTCTGATTTACCACAATAATTTTTATGACTTTTCTGTGTATACTTTCATCCTCATGACTCGGTTAATTTTGTTTTGTTTGGCTTTTTTTCTATTTCAAATGAAGGCATCTCATCATCACCAATCTGGCCTGGTGTTGACTTTTGAATTTAACAATCTACAACCTTGATACTTTTCTTTTGCAGCTCCTTTAGAGACACGGGGCATCCCTTCTATACCTATGATTTCACCTAGTCCCAGTCAAGAGGAATTACAGACCATTCAGGGTAAATTTTTTGTTTTGCAGTTTCAGTCTTTTAGGACCTTTAAGACATTGTCCATAAACAGTCACATGTACATTATATTCATATGTTGTTTCTAAACAAATTATCTCTTTTCCCCATTTTAAGAAATATGCATGCTACCTGATTCTTTTGCATTAAGAGTATAGTTCATGATTTTTTTAGTATAAGAATGTTTTAAAACAGTTTAACAAAGTTCTAAGTGTTCTGAAAGGAAAAATTTTACCAAAGTGCCTAAGTGCTTTTGAACTGTATTTGTAGTTTGAAACTACATTTGGAGGGGGGAAAATCATTCATATAAACTTATTGAGCCCTTCTTGCTAGGTGCTAAGCATAATTCATGTTAAGCAATGAGAATTTTTTTAAAAAGCCAAAGATGAGGTCCCTACCCTGAACAGCTCACCAGTATGATATAAATTAGTGACAATAATGCTACCTCGGTCTTTCCTAGCCAGTGTGATGCATGTATTTTTTTTATTTAAAACACATTAAATTTCTGTGAGAATAGTTTCTTTTACTTAATTGATTTTACTGATTGTAAAACTAAAGTATAAAGACATTGAAAATTTTTCTAAGACCACACAATTAGTGTCAGAGCCAGGATTGGAATTTATACACTGTTATCAGTATATAGGATTAATCACAGTGTTATACAATACAGTGAGTGTGATAGTGAAAAAGCAACCTGCTGAGCTAGTGAACTACCTGGGGCATCAGGGAAGGCTTCACAGTAGAGGTAACATTTGCACTGGGTCTTCCAGCTGGAGTGAGAGTTGAAGAGTCAAAAGATGTTAAAAGGTCTTTCAGGTTGAAGACAGCATAAGAAGAGACCCAGACTCAGGGCAGGGTATAACTCATTGGTTGCTTGGAGAAATTAGGATGAATGAATCAGAAATGTAGGTTGGGATGAGCTTGTCATACTTTCAAGGAAAGGGGCAGGAACTTGTTCACTGTGTGGAAACTTTGATTTGCCTGACTCTCTTGGCTGAAAATGAGCCAAAAACCAAGAGTTCCAGGTTTGTGTTTGTTGGCTCCTCTGCCCTGTCTGTAATACAGCCCTCATAGCTATATTTAAATCAGTGCCCATACTTTCCTCCTTTCATACCATTTCAAATAAAGCCATTGTTTGCATTTGTCTGCTGAAATAAAAGTTGTTGTTGTTAGATGCCATGGAGGCTCATAGGTACCTTATACACAACAGAATGAAACACTGCCCAGTCCTCCACCAATCTCATATTCCTTGCTACACTTGAGCCCATTGCTGATGCCATTGTACTAATCCATCTCATTTTGCTGACCCTCTACTTTACCAGTATGATGTCTTTCTTTAGAAACTGATCCCTCCTGATAATATGTCCAAATTATGGGAGACAAACTCTTGCTATCCTGGCTTCTAAGAACATTCTGGCTGTACTTCTTCCAACACAGATATCTGTGTTCTTTTGGTAGTCCATGATACTTTTAATATTCTTCTCCAAAACCATAACTCAAACATATCAATTCTCCTATGCTCTTCATTTATTGTCTAACTTTCACATGCATATAAGGCTACTGAAAATACCATGGCTTGGGTAAGGCATGCCCTAGTTCTCAAACTGATGAATTTGATGTCTTTGCTATTGAACACTTTAAAGTGGTCTTGTATAGCAGAATTGCCTAATGCAATATGCCATTTCATTTCTTGACTGCTGCTTCCATGAGTGTTAATGGTTGATCCAAGCAAACTGACGTCTTTGACAACTTCAGTCTTATCTCCATTTATCTTAATTTTATGTTTTGGTCCCATTGTGAGGATTTTTGTTTTATTTACACTGATGTGCAACCCATACCAAAGACTATAGTCTTTGATCTTCATCAGCAAGTTTTTTAAGTCCTCTTCACTTTCAGCAAGCAAGGTTGTATCATCTGCACATTCAGGTTATTACGAGTCTTCCTCTGATCCGGATGCCACATTCTTCTTCATATAATCCAGCTTCTCAGATTATTTGCTCAACATACAGATTGAATAAATATGATAGAAGAATATAACCCTGGCATACACGATTCCTAATTTTAAAGCATTCAATGTCCCATTGTTCTGTTCAAATGAAGGCCACTTGGTCTATGCACAGTTTCCTCATGTGCACTATTAAGTATGCTGGACTCATTCTCTGCAGTGTTGTTCATGATTTGATGATCCACACAATTAAAAGCCTTTGTGTAGTCAAGAAAGCACAGGTAAGCATCTTTTTGGTATTCTCTACTTTCAGCCAAGATCCATCTGACATTAGCAATGATACATCCCTCATTCCATCTCCCCATCTGAATCCAGCTTGAACCTCTGGCAGTTCCCTTTCAGTGTACTATAGCAGTGGTTTTCTAACTCCAGGTCTTTGCAAGTTTCATTATAATACTTGGCCTTGTCTTCCTAAAATGCCCTTTGAAACTTTCTGTTAATGAAATAGAGTGGATCACATATTAAAACAAAATGTTTTGAATTACCTTTAGCAAAATTTTAGTTGCATGCAATGTTAATGATACCACCCAATGATTTCCACATACCATTAGGTCATTTCACTTTGGAATGGACACAAACAGTTGTCCAGGTAGTTGTCCAAATGTCTTGGCATATATGAGTGATTGCCTCCAGTACTGCATTGTTTGTTGAAACATTTCAATTAGTATTCCATCAATTCCCAGAGCCTTGTTCTTTACCAGTGCCTTCAGTGCACCTTGGACTTCTTCCTTCAGTATTATTGACTCTTGACCATATGCTACCTCTTAAAATGGTTCAGCCATTTCTTTTTGGTAGAGTGCCTCTATGTATTTCTTCCATCTACTTGTTATGCTTTCAGCATCATTCAGTATTTCACCCATGTTGTTGTCATGTCGGTTCCAACTCATAGCAACCCTGTATAGGGGTTTCCAAGAAGTGGCTGGTGGGTTTGAACCACTGACATTGTGGTTCAAACTAACATTGCAGGCCAGTGCTTTATCCTGCTGCACCACACCAGGGCTCCATTTTGCCCATATGAGTTAAGGCTTGCATTTTTTCTTCATTTTTTTCCATTTCAAACATACTGAATATGTTCTTCCTTTTTAGTTTTCTGACTCTAGGACTTTGCATATTTCCATTATAAAACTTGACCTTGTCTTCTCAAACTGCCCTTTGAAAATGTTCTGTTTATAAAATGGAGTTGGTGATCACATAAAAAATCAAAATGGTTTCTAAGAAAATAATTTATAATTTAATGTACCAGCGCACCTTAGTTGGAGTCCTGGTGTGACACTGTGGGTTAATGCACCAGACTGCAAAGCCACTGAACCACAAGGTGGGTGGTTCAAGCTCACCAGCTGCTCCTCAGAAACCCTATATAGGGTCGCTATGGGTCAGAATCAACTCGACAGCACTTAACAACAACAACTCCTTAATTAATGAGTAATTAATGCTCAATTATTCCAGGTGCTGTACAGGGTGGCTATGAGTCAAAATTGACTTGATGTCACTTAGCAACAGCAACAACAAATCTATACTAGGCCTGAAAAGTCAACAGCACCCATGATGGCAAAATCAAAAATACTTTTCAAGAAATTAAATCTTTATCTAACTTCCACTCTCTATTTTTTATGTCTCTTGATTCATACAAGCAAGAGCCATCATCTGTCAACTGTGAAAGTACCTTTCTTGTAAGTAGAATCAAGAGAATAAAACATGGCAGAAAAATATTTCAGTATATTAATTGTAGCAGGTGTTTCCTTGGATCCAGTTTGTCACAAAGTAAACAATATAATTTGCTGTGTCTGTAAGATATAATGATTTCAGGATAAACTGGGATGGAAGTATTGCCGTACTTATTTTGTCAGAGAAAATTTGTCTTTTGTCAATAAAATGAAATAGTGTGATTTTCATATGAGTAAAATAGAACAATATTTATTGTTTTTTGGTGTAAATACACCTCTTTCCACATGATCTATATCACTGACATTATAGAATTTATGGACTAGGAAGGAGAAATTAAAAAGATAAGGCATAAAGATAGTTAAGAAGCATTCATACAGGAAATGCATGTCAGTATATTATTGTTGCTGTTTTTATGTGTCGTTGAGTCAGTCCCAACTCATGATGACCCTGCATTAGGTTTCTGAGGAGTGGCTGATGGGTTTAAAACACCAACCTTGGGGTTAGCAGTCCAGTATTTACCCTATAGTGCCACACCAAGCCCCTAAGTATATTGTTTTGCTGCTAGGTGACATCAAATTGGTTCTGACCCATAACAACACGATGCCTGGTCCTATGGCATTCTCATAATTGTTGCTACTCTTGAGCCCATTTCTGCTGCCACTCTGTCAATCCATTGCATTGGTCCTATGCCATTCTCATAATTGTTGCTACTCTTGAGCCCATTTCTGCTGCCACTCTGCCAATCCATTGCATTGGGGTCTCCTTCTTTTTCTCTGTGCCTCCACTTTATCAAGCATAATGTCTTTCTCCAGGGACTGGTTCCTCCTGATAACATGTCCTAAGTACAAGAGATGAAGTCTCACGTTCCTGGCTTCGCCTCTTCCAAGATACAATGAGATCCTTTTAATAATTACCAGCATAACAGTGTAAGAAGACAGAAAATAAAATAAATACATACTAAATCAAAATAATTGTAATGTTTCATGGATTTAAATGCAGTTTATCCTTTTATTGCAAGAAGAAGGCAAATAGGTTTTTTGGCATGTTCATAAAGAGAATTATTTGTTGTTGCTAGTTGCTGCCAAGTCTGTTCCCACTCGTAGAGACACTATGTACAAACAGAACAAAGCCCTGACTAGCTCTACGCCATCCTCACGATCATAGCTATCTTTGAGCCCTTTGTTGCAGCCATTGTGTCAGCCCATCTCACTGAAGGTCTTCCTGTTTTTAACTAATGCTCTACTTTACCAAGCGTGATGTCCTTCTCTAAGGACTGGTCCCTCTTGATAATATATCCAAAGTCCCTGAGTTAACTGTTGCCATCTTCCCTTATAAGGAACTATACTTCTAAGTCTGTATTTCATCCAAGTTAGATTTGTTAATTCTTCTAGCAGTCTATGGTATATCTAATCATCTTTGTCAATACCAAAATTCAAAGACATCAATTTGTCTTCTGTCTTCCGTATTTATTGCCCAGCTTTAATATGCTTACGAAGTAATTGAAAATATCATGGCTTGAGGCAGACATACGTGAGTCCTCAAATGACATCTTTACTCTTTAACACTTTAAAGCAGTTTTTTGCAACAGATTTGCCCAATGAAATACATTATTTAATTTCTTGACTGCTACTTCCATGGGGATTGATTATGGATTCAAGTAAAATGAAGTACTCAAAACTCCAATCTTTTCTCCATTTATAATGATATTGCTTATTGATCCAGTTGGAGGATTTTGTTGTTGTTGCTGTTGAGGTATAATCCATATGGAAGACTACAGTCTCTGATCTTCATCAATAAGTGCTTCAAGTCCTCTTCATTTTCAGCAAGCAAGGGTCATCTGCATATACCCACTGTCAGTAAGTCAATTCTGACTCATGTAGACCTAGTGTAGTGTTTCCAAGATTGCAAATCTTTACAAGAGTGGAAAGCTTCATCTTTCTCCCATTGAGTGACTGGTGGACTTGAACCATTGACCTTGTGGTTAGCAGTCCTACAGTGCCATCAACTGTATATTGTTGTTAAGTGCCATCAAGTCAGTTCCAACTCATAGCGACCCTGTATAGGGTTTCCCAGGAGAATGTAGTGGGTTTGAACTGCCGACTTTGTGGTTCAAAGTCCAGTGCTGATCCTACAGTGCGACACCAGGAGTCCTTCTGTACATAGCAGGTTAAAATGAATCTTCCTCCAATCCTGATGCCACATTCTCATTTAATCCAGTTTCTCAGATTATTTGCTCAGCATATCGATTGAATAATTAGGGTGAAAGGATACAACCCTGACACACAACTTTGCTGACTTTAAACTACATATTCTGTTCCAATGACTGCCTCTTGTACCATTTGAACACAGTGAGTTCCGTATAATAATGAGTAGCATAATCATGTAAGAATACAGAAAATATAATATATAGTAAATGAAAGTAATTATGTTTCATATATATAAATGAAAGTTATCCTTTTATCATTGCATGGGAAAGAAGAGTATAATTATTGGCATGTTCATAAAGGTAATTTAAAACAAGTCATCTTGCTGTGTTTTTCCCCAGCAGAAACAGACCAATCCACCCAAGAACACTTCACAACTAAGATTCCACGAACAACTAGATTGGCAAAGACAACTCAGGGTAATACTACTTCTCTACCTCTCAATACTATTGTTTTCTTATTTGTTTGTAATCAGGAAATTGAATGAGTCGAATGAGTTGATCACTTTCCCCCCATTGGTACGGTACATCAGCTTAATTTAATGCTTAATATGAATATTAGTTGAATGTAGAAAAGACGAGTTCTTTTGTTAGAACTCTGCTGTTGGATGTGTTATTTAGCTGCTCAATTCTAGTAACTAAAACTGAAAGCTCCCATTTCTCTTCTTACTTGACTTTCAGCTGTCTCATTTAACATCTGATAAATATAAGAATTTTTATTATCCTTCTCCTCCTTTTCACCCTCCTCCTCTTACTCTCCTTTCTCTTCTCACCCCTTCCTTCCTCAGTCCTGTGATTCCCACTGGACAAAACACATTGATATTGTAATCTGGAATTTTCTGGGTGGTGTAAACAGTTAACGCATTAGGCTGATGACCAAAGGGGTGGAAGTGTGAACATACCCAAAGGAGGAAAAATCCTGGCAGTCTACTTGCAAAAACTCAGCCATTGAAAGCCCTCTGACACACATAAGGTTGCCACAAATCTGACTTGACTCCATGGCAACTGTTTATTGTAGTTAAGCAAAGAAACTTAAGAAAAATGATTTTATTAATGATCACTTAATTTTTTAATTATCTAGGGAGATTTGCTCTGGGATTTCTGACTTTCTACTTTAGGATTCCCTGATTTCTGGAAGAAGTTACTGAATAGCACCTAACAATAACAATTTTTGGCAAGGGGACTTAGCTACATACAGCTGTGAGTCTCATCGTTATGCTCTTAGAAGTCCTTCCTTTATGTTCTTCTGTCCTATGTGGGTAAACATTCACATTACCCATCCAAGTGTCTGTGGAGAACTATTCTTGCTACAGTGTTATATAAAGAGAACTTTAATTATTTTATTTTGAGCTCAAAAATACTTACTGCCTGGGAAATTTATAGCCATTCATGAAACTTATAACCATTCATATTCAGTTACATTATGAAACATAATTTTAAGTCGTTGATATACTGATAGTATGAGTTTTCAGTCTAAATTAAATTCCACATTGTCCCTAAATTCTGTAACTGTGATCACAAGAATTAGGAACTAACAATTGAACTGTATTTGGCTCTTGATTACTGAATGCCTCTTTATCAGTTGTGGAATTCTCAGTATTTGGGTAGTTTTATTTTTTTTTCTAAATGATTCCTTTTGCCCAACTCTACCACTGTCAGATAATAGGATGCCTCCTTGTCTAGTTATCTAGTTATCTAGTGCTCCTATAATAGTAATACAACAGGTATATGGCTTTAACCACACAATAAAATTCTTTTCTCATAGTTTAAAGGCTAGAAGTCCGAATTCATGGCACTAGCCCTATGGGAAAGTTTTGTCTGTCATCAGCTCTGGGTCCTACTGTCCTTTCAACATGTCTGAGTCTGTCCTTTCTTGAAGATCTCCATGTGTCTTGGCATCAGTTTTGCCCTGTGTCTAAGAGGTTCTCTGCACAGAGTCTCCAGGTCCAAAGGATATGCTCCACTCCTGGATATTCTTTGTTGGTGGTAGTCTGATCCTTCTCATCTCTACTGGTTCTTCTAGATCTCAAAAGAGATTGACTCAAGATATAGCCTGATTCTGTAGAGTGTATCCTGCTTTATTAACATCATAAGAGTTTAGAATTTATAATCCAAAGGATAATTAGATGACAAAATGGAGAATAATTATATAATACTGAGAATAATGCCCTAGCCAAGTTGACACATAAAGAGTTAGAAGACATATAAACTTGTTTTCCCCATTGTCAGTTCATGATATCAACAAGAGAAATCTAATTTTATGGCTTGGGGGATTTTTTTGTCATTGAGGTGATATTTATTCTAAATAAATATTGTTGAGACAGATTCTGCATGCTGCAGGAAAGTTCCTTTCAATTTTCCAAATCTGTTTTTACTTGATTGTTTGAGTTAACATTTTATTATGGTAATTTAACAATATAAACAGAAATAAGAAGAATAATATGATGACACCACCTCCCATATCCATTGCCAACTTCAATAATTAACAACAGATGGTCAATAGTATTATATCCATGCACCACCCTGATTTTTTTATGTTTATTTTTGTTTTTCAAAAATGTTTAATATCTGGCTTAATAGAAGACAGGTAGATGTCATAATCAAACAGTATTTTTGCAGCAAACTAAATATTTACAATAAGCAGAGTAATTTTAAAGACTTTCATTGCCAAATGAAAGATTTCAATGTTTTAGAATTTCATAGATATCTCTCATACTTCGGACATACTGTCAGGAGGGACCAGCCGCTGGAGAAGGATATCATGTTTGGTAAGGTGGAAGGTCAGAGAAAAAGAGGA